AAAAGAGCAACTCTATAATGCTATGTGGAATGTTCACCATCTCTAAAATCAATTTTGAATAGGTTAAACAATCTTATATGGCCAACTATGTGTTAACAGCCAACTAACATCACAGATAAAGGACATTTATGTGGTGGCTTCCCACCAAGAAAATCAAGACTTACGGGTCATAAGCCTTCTCTTCTGGCTCAGGGCCCATGATGGGCACTACTCTCATAGCCGGTGGCAAGGACTGGCGAGAGACACTGGCAATGGCCCTCTGTTTCTGCTTTGGAGGCAGCGCTGGTGGAGGCTGGAGTGATATGTGCTCCATGCTGCTGTAAGTAATCACACAGAATTTTTTTAGGTTTGAGTATGAAATAAATGTTTTCAACCCAATGCTGCCAGGAAATTGTGATGTTCACTTTAGTATTGTTTTATTATAAAAATGTATCTACACAAGTGCTTTGCCAACAAGGAATCAATTACTTGTCTATGTGCTCTCCCCTGATTTTCAAGTTCCTTGAGTTTACAGGATTTTTTTTTCTTATTGCTATTAATATTTATACTGTTATTATTATTACTGTCTTTATAATTATTATGGTGTTATTAGTATTACTAATGGCAATATAAAATCAAATAAAATATTTCCAAAAATCAAGGAAAAGGGTAAACAGGTGAGATAAGTCAGACTAGTGATTGACTCATTGGTGACTAAGCACTTGTGGAGCCATCTACGTACAAATACAATCAATAAACTAAACTCCTTGTGGGCATGGCATGTCCATGCATGCCATCCCTGGGTTAAGATGACCCTTGTTTTTTTTATCATTCTAAATTCTTTTTTTTACAAATAAATATCATATCTCTCACCCCACCTTATAAACCTTGAAATAAAAGGGTACACTAATTTTTAAAGAACATTCTCATACTGTATTAACAATTTTACAATGTAATTTTACTTTGACTTCAGAAAAAAAGTTATTAATATCACCAATTTAAGGAAATTAAATCACAAATAAAATAAAAACTGTGGCTATACAAATTCTGTACAATATCCTGGTACTATATGACACCAAAATCAAAACAAAAGACTAAATGAGAAGGCAACCAAACAAACAAGAATAAGTGCAGAAGTAAATTCAAAAAGAAACACAGGCCAAAAATATCTTTTTTATGGAAAAAAGAAACAGAATTAACACATTCTTGCAAGTACAAGTAATACATCATAGCCATAACTGTAGTATAAACTATTTGTGTCTCACCCTTGCATCATGCTGGAGAATGAATGTGATGCATGGTAAAGCTCATGTTCACTCTCATGAGCATGCCAATCTGCATGGAGGTGTATCTGGTGCACAGAATTCCTTAACAGGTCACTTTCATTCGGCTCAGACACTTGGCCAAAGAGCTTCATGTAGTCCATAACTAGAATAAAGGTAAGCATCACAGTCTTGCAGTATTTTTCTTTGACATAAACTCACAGGTTATGAATTTGTCTAGAACTAGAACTAGACACTGAATAAACTTTGATGCATACAATCCTCATGCTATGGCAAACAAACAATTAATGATCATTTTGTGCCAAGAGAAATACATACCATATTTCTTCTTAACAGGCAGTGGTGGTGGGTTGTCATCACCAAGCCCTGAACTACCAAGCTGGGACTGGAAAACCGTGGTATGCCGCCGTAGCTGCACAACACTGCTGCTCCCCTGACTGCTGGCATTGCTACTGTTGCTTAACATGCTTGTAGTGCTACTCATATAACCACTGTTGACACTACTGGTGCTACTACTACTGCTGCCACCCAGCTGCAGATTGCCAATCTTGGGAGGAAGCTTGGGACTAGGGTCATCCTTCTGATAAGGATAAGAGAGAGTATAAATGAAGTTACCAAAATATAAATAAATAGAAAAAATTATCAACAACTGCATTTTTTATACCCCTAGCAGGGACAAAAAATATAATAAGTTAAATACATTTTCCTTACCTTATATCTAATGTCATGTGAGTCTACAGTGTCAGTATCAGGAAAGTCACAATTAACGTTATCATATGTGGAGGCTGTGCGCATCTCAGCTGATCGTCGACCTTGTTGTATGCGCTGTTTCACTGGCAATGCAGGAGGTACTTGAATGGACATGGTGTTGTTCTCTATCTTTTCTCCCTGTAAAATGATTTGAGTAAAATGAACAAATGTATGGATTTTATGAGAAAACATTCACACCAGAAAATAATAATGCAAGTGATAAAATAATATATACATCATATGTTACATAAGTTCCAAACAATCAGAATATGAAAGATGGTAAAGACAATATTGGGGACTGTTCGAAATGGCTTTTAATTAAAATAGGTAGAGACCTGTTACAATTAGATATATTATTTGCAGAAATGATGATGGACACATCAAACAAGTTTTTGAGAGTGTGTTCAGGCAAGAACAAAAAAATGTTATACAGAATGGATTATCACAGTTACCATTTAACCTACCAAGAAATCTAATTGTCCATGACACCTCGAAAACATGCATTTAATTGTTTAAACCAATTATAGACCTATTACCCAGTTACTAATATGCCTAAGAACAGATAAGGCACAATAGATCTATTAACCTCATTCACCTGGAGACCCACCTCACTGCCACTGGAGGAGGTTGAAGCAGATGAAACTGAGGATGATGTGGATGAACGGGTAGTGGTAAAGTGCTGGTAGGATACTACACGCTTGGTGCTGCAGCTCACCTTACTGCTAACCTGTTGAATTTAGCCATGCAAGTCAGAAAAAGCAGGGTGCAATGGGTGGGGTCTGACGTCTAGACCAGAGTGTGACATTCACACTTCAAGTGGAACATTCCAGTAAAAAGTAGCAGCAAAGATAAAATGCACAACAATGTTCAACATTCATCTTGTAAAGAACTTCTACATTACATAGCAGTACAGAACTTTTAAGGAAAAAAAACTATGAAAATAAGTTTCAAAGATTACACTTATCACGTCACAAGAATTACAAAACAGTATTTCTTAAATATGTGGAATTCACTAACCCATTGGCACAGGGTACATGCACTGCCCACTGTAGTCTTGCTTTATTAAATTTGTTTACATATAAATGCTTTACAAGTGCTTACTCCCCAAGGAGTCACCTATTCTTACCTCTTTATTCCACTCCTTGATTTTTTTTGCTGTTATTGTTGTTGTTTGCTTCATGACCATGATCTTTTCATTATCATTATCATTATCAATCATCATTATTATTATCATTATCAATATCATCATTACCATCATCATGATCATCATATTCTTATCGTGATTATTATCATTAATATGATTATCATCATCACCATGATTACTATCATTATCATGATTACTATCATTATCATTATTATCATATCATTATCATGATTATCATTATCATGATATCATTATCATTAATTATTATCATTTATCATATTTTCATCATTATCATATTATCATTCATATATCATTTTCATGATTATCATTATAATTATCTTGATTATTATCACTGTCATCATTATCATCATCATTTTCATTTTCATTATTACTATCATTATCATCTCATTATGATTATCAACCTTACAACTTCATTTCAATAACCATAAGTACAATAAAAAAAACTTTCCTTTTCAAAAAATTAAGAAAATGGGTAAATGTGAGGTCCCTTAGGCCTAGTATCCAACTACTTGGTGACTAAGCACTTCTGGAGTCATCCATGTTTTCACAAAATGGATAAAACAAAACAGCACTGGACACTACTTGTATACATACACCCTTCGAGTCAATGGGTTAAAACTAAAAATAATGGTATCATTTTGTTACTAATTTGTCTACCAATTCATTCATACAAAAACTTAATACAGTGATATTAAACAAAGACTGGTACATCAGTTCATAATGGCCAAAGGCAAATTTGCTTTCTGATAATTAAAATACTTGACCCAATTATTTAGTTCGTCACCTGACAGATATTCATGGCGGTACATACGTAAACTGGTATCAGAATGTAACATCTACATGATTCAATATCATAAATCACAATAATCAAAATATATCAATCAAAATCATAAATTACAATAATCAGTATATTCAGCATATTAATCAAAATGTTCTTTTCTTCAGCTTCCAGCAGTTCCAAAGCAAAAAAGAATATTACATCTATATCCCAGCTGAAAGAGAATAGACAGAAAAAAACATATTGTGATATTGAAAAGACAAACTTTGTGCAAATATTACTTTTCTTTCTGTTTCCAGGACTACTGAACATACAAAGATAATAACAAAATACTCAACAAACAAATTCAATACCTATATAATCAATGCCATATTTGTATATTATCTTCTTGTAATTAGATATCTTATTAAACACTTCTTGGCTGCTAATATTAATAACACTGCTAAATTATTTAACATTCAATAATGTCAGCATACATTGTCTTATTAGGAATATCTGATCTCCCTTGATAACATAGTAATGATCATGCAAAATACAATAAAGATGTAAAGTGTTTATGAAGGTAATCCCATCAATTGTGATTACTAAAATATAACATAGATCAAACAACTAAACTGTTGAAATTCATAGAGAAAGAGTAATCTATAGATGATAAAATCTATATCATAAAGCATATCATGCTTAATCACTTTATACCTTTACACTGCATGCACCACCAAGATCAGGCTACAGAGTCTATGATGCAATGCAATCTTACCTGAGATGAAGAGGAGAAGAAGGTCTCTGTGCGAGACTCCACCACTGACTGACTCTCGCTGGTACTCTTGGACATATGACTTAGGAAGGGTTGGTTTGTAGAGCTGCAACAAGATTAAGTTACACATTTCTCCCTACAAAAACACTCCTGTATCACAACACTACTCTATGTCCTTTATCAACTAGTATCAATTCTTCAACATACTGGTTAAGTTTCCAGTGGTGACTAGACATACAATTAAAATAAGTACCTGTTAATGAGAGTGTTTGATGAGAGGCTGTTCACTGAAGAAAGGGAAGGGAAGCCAGAATCCGTGAAACACATACTGGCGGTGTCAAAGTCTGATAAACAGTGCCCAAGCCTAGGTTCTATAACAATATTCTGCAGGGCTCTTTCAAAATTAAGATCTAATCGATCACTGAGAATAGACCCACAGGGATTGAGACTTGTCTGGCTTTTAACAGATTCTTCATGAGACTGATTCATGGAGTCAAGACTGGATGCAGGGGATACTTGGTCTGAGGAATGAGCAGTATGAGATTCCCTGTCCAGCGATCCAGTGTAAGGTCCTGAACCACAGCCATGAGGTGGCCACTCTGAGGAACTTTCCCTTGGGCTGCGGTTTAATGGTGAGCTGTGCCCAAGGGGTGAGTTTTGGTACATGGGGTTGCCTACACCATTCTCTGGGGAACTTCTCTTACAGTGATTCTTCTTCTTTGGAGGTAGTGGGGGTGCAATATCATTCCGCCTATTGAGAAAGATAAGGATGATCAAAACATTATTATCAATAATGCTTAAAATTACTCTAATAAAGCAACCATTTCCAGAAAAAGTAAAGCATGGAACTTACCAACATAGAAGGGGTTTAGAAAAAATTTAGGTATGGAACTCACCCAGTTGGAAGGGGTGGTTTTGGAGGAGGTGCTTCCACAGTTGTATTAAGTATTGAGTCAGAACTCAGTGAGTGGCTAAGCTTAGTGCTACTGTCTCGTGGAGAAAGGAAACTTCTATTCTTTTCCACAGGTGAGTCAGCTGTAATCTCAGGCAGTGAATTTCGATGATTTGACACAGTATCTGAATTTCTGAAAAATGAATTCAGCTCATTGTTTAGTAGGCCTCAAATAGAAAATGTGTTTACATATTTATACCACAAATAATAATACAAAGTGTGTTTACCTATATGACAGTTACATACATTTATGGTCAGTTTAAAATACTCAAAAAAAAAAAAAAAAAAAAAAAAAAAAAAAAAAAAAAAAGGAAGAAAGAAAAGAAAAGAAAAAAGTTTACCTGTAATAAGGTGTTGATATTTCCGAGTTTATCGAATTATTATTAACATTAGTGGACGGAGAGCTATCCATTATGCTTGAATCTGATATATTCAAGTTTTCCTTATCAGCAGCAAGATCAACGAAAGCCTGAAAAATACAACAAAATTAATATAGTAAAAAAATCGCTCTTTAAAAAATTACTGTCACATGATCAGCTCTGTTCCAGGCATCTATAACATACACCATAAAGCGATAGAGAACTCACCTGGACGGCATCCCTAACTGTCTGAACAACCTGTTGGACGGTCTGAGTATTGTGAGCCTCATCCCCACGTAGCAATAACTGGTCACTCCACCGCACCAATTCTGCCACACTATGGTGTACGCGGGCTATGACTGAAGACACCGCAGAGCTGTGTGGAAGGCCATCAGTGAGTCATGTGAGAATCCTGCCTTTACTGAACTCCTTCCTAATATGTATGGCATGAAGCACAATGAGATAAAGTGAAAAGAGGATGGAGATACATGGGGGAAAAAGAGAAAAGAGAAAGAAAGAAAATTAGGAAAGGAAGGGAAAGGAAAAGAGAAGAGAAGAGAAGAAAAGAAAAAAGAGAGAATAGAGAATAGAGAAAATTGCATAGTGAAAAGAGAAGAGAAAAGAAGAGAGGGAGGAAAAACAAAGGAAAAGAGAAGAGAAGAAAGGACAGGAAAGGAGAGATGGGGGGAAGAGAAGAGAGGGAAGAGTCCCTAAGAAGGTGATTAAGTAAAGAAGAAAGGTCAAAAGGAAAGGCTATTCAAAGGTTAATACCACTGACCTGTTCTGATTCGAGAAGCAGGGTTTGAGGGCGAGGTTGAGAGCAAGAACCATCTCCAGCACGACTGTGGCTGAGCCTGGCAACATGTCCATCATGCTCTTCTCCACCACATCCCTGTAGAAAGCCAGCGCCCGCCACACATGCTCCACCTTGCTCTCCAGGCTTTCGCTGCTGTGACTGGGCTCCACCTTCACGATCTTACCTGTAGGCGTAATGCCAGGCTTGAGATTGGGCTTACACTACTCTCTCCCTAATTCCTCTTATCATAAACGGGCTTGCACATACAAATCCTGCAAATGGTTCTTAATTCTGAGTCGTTTCCCCTCGGGAAGCTAAAAACCTAACTCATTACTTTTGTTTTCGTTATTCATCATTATTCGAGATCCTGTAACTGGAATAATACTTTGTGTTGCGATACAGTAATAAAACAGACTGAATATTGCTCCAGAACAAGCTTTACGAAGAGATTCTGTACAAGAGCTAAGGAAAACTAAACAAACATCAACCTTTGTAAACTTGTTCTCATAATTATGTAATGCAGCCTTCGCTAAATTGGCGGCCGCTTTCCCCTGTTCACCGTGGAAACGACGGGCGCCGACGCGAGGTCGCCCGCGCTGGATTCGGCTCCGGAAGGGCGGACCGCGAATTTGGACGAACAGTGTAACGCACGCTGTCGGCTCTCATCAAATCAGTGCGGTATCGTCCCCATGTATGTGAGAATTCATTTGATTCTTTGGCAATTCTAACGAAAATTACACAATCTAAACAGCGAATTGACTTTCAAATTGATAAAATCAATGTTTGCTAATGACTGCTACCAATGAAAGATCAATAGAAGGCCTTGCTTGCATGAACGGTTGAAACGCTACGTCGACCAAATAGGTTATACGAGTGCAGCATACCGCAGCACCCTCATCGATATGCGAATTCACTTCATTCTTACATTCACCTATTCACTTCATCTAAACTGTACCTGAACACAACAGCTGCATCTGTTAACGGCAGGTACAACTCATGCCGAAACCGAAAGCAATTTACTAAATATACGAGCATGACAGAACAATTCCGCAATTTACAAGCAATTCCGCGGCTAGTTTACGGTGTCCTACACATTTTAGAATAACAAAATCTGAAATTCTATGAGTTTCAAATCTATTTTGCGTCTGTCACTGACTAAATAAAAAAAGTCATGACGCACAATGGATCGTATTCAAGGCTAAGCTTTTTTAAACATAATAGACGTGCCGCAAACAAGCAAGGCGGGAAAGCAACTGGACAGGTACTGCGGTTCTTTCCCCTGTGCGGAACATTAATAGGCACGTTCTGCATTTCGAAACCGGACCGGCGTGAGAATCAACTCCGGGTCAAATCGCATCGACCGCATTCCATTCATCTACGGTTGAAGCATTCCCCCAAGGACCGCACATCTTCCTTACGCAAATTCTCCCACCGCGAATTCTAGGAACTCTCAAGCACAAGGGCACCGAGCATTCCGATTGCTTCACAACCTCCCGACGCGTGAAGAGTGATGCCCCGGTTAGGACCGAGCACTCGCACGCAGCCACGAGAGCCCACGAAATGAAAACGGGGCATAAGGGCCACTCACCCGTGCTTCTCATTGGGGACTTCATCCCTTTCAGCTTCTCCTTGACGGAGTACGCCCGGCTAAGAAACACCCCTCCCTTGCTGGGTTTCGGCGTGTCTGAAATGGAGAAAAAACACAATTAATCAAAAACATTCAGTAAAAAAATCTTCAAAGAAAGCAAAGTGCAATTCAATGTAAAATGTGGGAAAAAAACTTACTGATCACTACAAGTATACAATCACTACTAATAATACCACAACTACAATTCGTAAAAAATACAATTGCTATTGCGAAAACATGCAAAATCAGACAAATCAAGGCGAAGACCCATGTATCCCAAGTTCTATCATTTCCACCTTGCTGTCAATTTTCTCCCTCTGAGGAATCCGCAGTAAAAACAAAGCCGCGGCGGCGAGTGCCTGGCATTCCGACGGAGAAGCCGCATCGCAAACATTGCCATCCCCGTGCAAACCTCCGGCTAAACTTATCTCGGCCAATGTTATAAATAACTTTCTAAGAGCGTGGGTGTGGATGGGGATGGGCGAGGGGTGGGCTGGAGAGTGGGTGTGGATGGGGATGGGCGAGGGGTGGGCTGGAGAGTGAGTAGGGGTAAGGGTGGGGGCAAACTGGGAGGAGCAATATGTTGAGAAAGTGTATGGAGGAGGGGGGAGGAGGCTGATACAGAGTGACTAGGATATGGAGAGAGACAGGGTAAGACAGGGTGAGGCAGGGCGAGCGACAGGGTTGCCCAAGAACGCATACAGGATTAACAGAAGGTATGAAAGAGGACGACGCAGACAAAGGGGGATGCCAGAAGACAAGCAAGCAAGAAAACGAGGTGACCCAAGAGAGCAAAAAGGAAAGACGAGCGAGAGAAGAAGAGGAGTTCGCGAGCAATACAGGGGGCGAGAGGGTAGGCAGGGCAGGGCAGGGCAGGGCAGGGTAAAGCAGGGAAGGATAGGGCAGGATAGGGGGGGGGCGTGGGGCAGAATGACGTAAAGACCCGCACAAACAAACGGACACAAGAGGCGCGAGTGAAGGGCGGGATGGCATGCGAGAGGGACTTCCTCAGTGTGCAACCGACAACCATCTTCTGTTTGTTGGTCCTCGCGGCGCTGGGCTAGGAGGGGGAGAGGGGGAGAGGGAATCCGATAACGGGGGAGGGGGGAGGGGGGGAAAGAGAATCCGATAACAGACAACAAACAGAAAGGACAAAAGAGTACGTCGCCTCAACAGAGCGCTGCGCAACAAGTCTCCATTCTCACTCTACGATGGGATAGAGAGACCGGATTGGATAACACTGATAAAAAGGAGAAGAAAAAAGAGGGGGAGGGTGGGAGAGGAAGAGGGAGAAGAAAATCAAACAAGGGAGCAGGATAGAGTAAGAGGGGGAGAGGGAAGACGTAAAAGGAGAGAGTTGGAGGGAAGGACACGGGAGAGAGGAAGGAAGGAGGGAGAAAGTGAGGATGAGAGAAAGACAGAGGGATAGATAAGGAGACGGAGAGAGAGAGAGAGAGAGAGAGAGAGAGGAGAGAGAGAGAGAGAGAGAGAGAGAGAGAGAGAAGAGAGAGAGAGAGAGTGAGAGAGAGAGAGAGAGAGAGAGAGAGAGAGAAGAGAGAGAGAGAGAAGAGTGTGTAGGTAGAAAGGAGGAAATAAGCGTGTGTTAATTTCCTCCTTCCGAACGACCTCCCCCCCCCTCATTGGCACCCTTGCAGATACCCAAAATCGACCTGCACCTTTTTCACTTCTCTTCCTTTCCATTCTTCCCTCTCGCTTGTTGGTTATATTTCAGTATACATATATATACATATATATACACACACATAAATACATACATACACACACACACACACACCACACACACACACACACACACACACACACACACACACACACACACACACACACACACACACACACACACACACTCATAATGAGCATAGCAATGATAAGGATTAATAAAGGGCATTATGATAATGATTATTATAATCATAACTGTCGATACTGAGATGCTGTTTATACTAGACATTTATCCTTAACTCCCTTTCTTAACATCCTGAATATCCCCCCCCAAAAAAAAAATCATTAGTTTATGACTGCGTGTGCGTGTGCATTTCTACTCGTAAACATAAATGCGTGAGAAGCCTTTTTATTTCTGCCTGCAGCTGCATGCAGCGCATGTGTGTGTGTGAGAGAGAGAGAGGGGAAGGGTGAGAAAGAGGGAAAGAAAGGGGAAAGAGGGAGACAAAAGGGAGAGGGAGGGAGGGAGGGATGAAAGGAGGGAGAGACAGACAGGCAGAGAGAAGAGAGAGAGAGAGAGAGAGGAGAGAGAGAGAGAGAGAGAGAGAGAGAGAGAGAGAGAGAGAGAGAGAGAGAGAGAGAGAGAGAGAGAGAGATGCAGGGAGGGGGAAAGAGAGAGAGCAAGAAAGCAAGGGAGAGAGAGAAAGATAAAGAGAAAGGCAAAGAAAAAAAAGAAAGAAAGCGTCGCCTGACACAAAAATCATGCGCATGGAGCTAAAAACGCACAATAAACAAGAGGAGTTTACAACAAGGTGAAGTCATCGCCATTTTAATTCGTATAAAGGTTAAGAGCGACATAGCAGAAGCGGGGGAGGGGGAGGGGGGGGGAGGGGGAGAAGGCGAGAATGAGGTGAGGGGGAGGGGGAGGGGGAGGGGAGAAGGGCGAGAATGAGGTGAGGGGGAGGGGGAGGGGGAGGGGGAGAAGGGCCGGGAGAAGGTGAGGGGAGGGGGGAGGGGAGAAGGGCGAGAATGAGGTGGGGGAGGGGAGGGGGAGAAGGGCGAGAATGAGGTGAGGGAGGGGGAGGGGGAGGGGAGGGGGAGAAGGGCGAGAATGAGGTGAGGGGGAGGGGGAGGGGGAGGGGGGGAGAAGGGCGAGAATGAGGTGAGGGGAGGGGGGAGGGGAGGGGGGAGAGGGCGAGAGAGGTGGGGGAAGGGGAAGGGGAAGGGGGAGGGGGGGGGAGGAGGAGGGGGAGAAGGGCGAGAAGGTGAGGGGGAGGGGGGAGGGGAGGGGGAGAAGGCGAGAATGAGGTGAGGGGGAGGGGAAGGGGAGGGGGAGGGGGGAGGAGGGGGAGAAGGGCGAGAATGAGGTGAGGGGGAGGGGGAGGGGAGGGGGAGGAGGAGGGGAGAAGGGCAAGAATGAGGTGAGGGGGAGGGGGGAGGGGGAGAAGGGCGAGAATGAGGGGAAGGGGGGAGGGGGAGAGGGGGACTGAGCCAGTAAAAACTTAAGAGGCGGGTCGTTAGGGAAGCTTGGCCAGGGCGACGTACAGAAATACTGGGAAGGAAAAGGGAAGCTGGAAAGATGGACCGGAAGAAGACATCCAGATGGACCGATGGATTGGTAAAAAGATAGACTGATAAGGGAGATAGGTAGATAAGGGAGAGGGAGAAGGGGAGAAGAGAGAGAAAGAGAGAAGAGAGAGAGAGAGAGAGAGAGAGAGAGAGAGAGAGAGAGAGAGAGAGAGAGAGAGAGAGAGAGAGAGAGAGAGAGAGAGAGAGAGAGAGAGAGAGAGAGAGAGAGAGAGAGAGCCACGGGGTGGTGATCGCCCGTTTATTACGCAGACGGGGAAGGTCGGCGATAAGAGACCGCAAGTGCCAAGCCCCGAAGGCTCCGAAGTGGCCGTCGACCCCCCCCCTCTCGACCCCCTCATCAAGTGAAACCTACTCCCGACGGCGATGCTCAGACCTCCACCCCCCCCCCCCCTCACCCACATCACCGCCCTCCCTCCCCCTCGCAAGGTCACGGCGAATACGACAAATCTTTACGCCAACATGGAGATGTTTTGACAATTATGATAATGATGGTAATGAAAGAAATCAACAAAAGCTACAAAAATGTTATTAATGATGAAAGATGAGAATGATAAGGATGGTCCCAAAGCAACAACAACAACAACAAGAACCAAAACCACCACTATTATAATAATAATAATGATGATAATAACAAGAGTGATAATGATGATGATGATGATGATGATGATGATGATGATGATGATGATGATGATGATGATGATGATGATGATGATGATGATGATGATGATGATGATGATGATGATGATGATGATGATATGATATAATAATAATAATAATAAATAATAATAATAATAATAAACAAAAATATAACAATAATAAAATAATAAAAATAACAATAAAAAAATATCAATAATAAAAATAATAACAATAACAACAGTAACTAACAAAATCATAATCCCTCGAGGAGCCGAGGCCTGAACCGCGAGCGTCGCGGCAGCAGCACAGACAACACAAAAAAACTCCCCCCTGCTCCCCCCTCCCAGCCCCCGCGAGGCCATGCACTCCCCGGCCCCGGAAACCTCGCCGCGCAAAAACACTGCGACCTTCACTTCCCGGCACTTGAATGGGAGGGCGGGAAACGAATGCGCATACGCAGGCAGTCGTCAGGGGCGGGAACGAATGTGAAAAGAGAAAATCGTCCCACAGAACTAGCAAGAGCTAGCTTGATAAAACTAGTTCGTCTCTCGCTGAACTACCGCATCTGAGATTCAAAAGTACCCAGTCGAGTATTTCCCCGAGAGCAAGACACCGAGGAAAGCCAGGCTCAAGGAACTCCTTCTGGCGTTGCGCGCAGGTGCCACGAAATGCCACCTGTGCCACCCTCAACGATGCGCCATGCTTCCCATGTGACGCCGCGCCGTTTCGCTCCCGTCGCCTCGCCTTCGCCCCTGACGAGCGGCCCCTTTTCACCAGCACGCTCGCCGCGCCTGCAAGAGCATGCTCCGTCACTCGTTATCTCGGGAGCATGCTTCCTTCGCCCCCCCCCCCAACAGGTGCGTCTCACCCCGCGACTCCCTCCTTGCCTTGCCCGGGCACCTCTCGCGGATGTCTCAAAGACTCACAACGAAAGCGGCTCACGGGAAGCGCTGGCATCTACAAACCTAAAGCATGTCGCAGTTAAGAAGCGAGCATCTGTCACCATTTACGACACACGTGCTTCAGTACATGTAGATTTCAAGACAACAATTATAGATTGGGAACCAACATTTTTTCTCTCTTCCCTTTTCGCTGCAATCCTTAGATGACAGCGCCAGACCGCACGGCCCTAAAGCAGGAAACTTCGGAAT